CCCTTTCTCGGACCGCCTTGACCTTGCCCGAAGAAACCCCGCCCAAGAAATTATTTATGCTTAAACTTACCTCCACCCGCTCTTTCCCCTTGAAAACTGGCCAAGTACGCCACCCCTACCCCTCAGTTTCCACCCTTTTCAATGAGCTGAACCAGCATGCCGAATCAAACTAGGACAAAAACTGTACGACTTGGACTACTTATTTAAGCAAAGCGATGCGATATCGTGAGTCCAGATAACAGGGATGAGGGGAGGGGAAAACAAATCTCGTGATAAACTTCCGTGTGGCAATGAAAGGGGATTGTGAAATCCGCACCAAGACGGTTCAGCCAAAATCTTCAGCTAGCAAAAGTAAAACAAAGAACATGTGTGTCGTGTAGCGAGGCAAGAGCAAAGTAGCAGGGAAGGCATTCTCCCCCCACCCCACCCCCCTCTCTCACTGCTTGGGCTTGGGGAAGGACAGATATCTCCCTTTCATGACATAGTAATCTGTATTTCCGATACTTTTCTGTTTCCCATTTAGCAACGATTTTTGTTGCCCAAGGTTACGTAGCGGTGGGCCAGGGCACGACTTTGTAATCAAACACTCGCTGCCTCTGCTCGTGGGGACTTAGGGCTGTCATGTCGGGCAGAGATGCAAACGCTGAGTCAGATCTGTTAGGGGGAAAATTAAAAGTTCCTGGTATGTTTAACTCACGATCCGCTACACTGAATGGCTTCAGAGCAGTAATATGTGTACCACAGTTTTCACGTTAAGGTTTACATCAGCTAGGAAATCTGTGAAGGCTACTAGTGGCTGTTTTCAGGCGACACACTTCGTGTCCAAAGTAGGGGCGTTTTCTGCGGTAGTGTTGGCAGCGCGTACGAACCTCCTCAGTTCCTCACCAGGCACGCTCTCTGCGCAACGGCAGTGAAATCATCTGGCGACGTTCTGCTTTTGTTTGTCAATAAGTTGTGTGGTGTGCGAGATCGCGAAGCGAAAAGTGGAATGACGAGAATGATTCCACAGACCAGTGTGTAAAATGTTTTAGACACAGACACAGGAAAATGGTGCTGTCAATGTGAATTTTCCGCAAATTCGTTTATCGTGAATAGTGACAAATTAGTGGAGTGTTTTAGCTGCTGTTACCCATCGCAGCGAAGCTGGTGAATGAGAAACGCAAAAAGAGCTCTGTGTGCCTCCGTTACGAAGCTAGTGGAAAGCGTCAACGACGATGGCTGTGTTGAACGCGTTGTTCACCAAACTTCTGCAATTGGCGAAGAGAAGGGCGGACCACGACGTTGTTCGTCCTCCTTCACGCGAAGAAAACATTTCCAAAGCTCTGGGTAAAGTGGAGCCATACGTCGTCTGGCTTCAAAGCATCATGATCTGGGAAAATCCAGTCCACACACTTGTGGCTTATTTTTGCTTCAATATCCTGTTCTGGTGAGTTTTTCCCCCAGACATCTCCCACTTCTTGTATTTTTTCCACTGCATTAATTGCCTTGTCATTACCTGTAATCCGAGGTTAGTTTTATAGAAGAGAGAGGACTACTGTTGTCATATGACCCAAGCTTGTAAACAAAGAAAAAAAATTTGTTAGACCTCCTGCTGGAGTGAATTTGGCTAGAATGCTTCATCAGTACCAGTTTGTAGCGATAGTAAGAATGACTCTACTACAGATGCCCTCTAATTGGTGCAAAGTTTCATTAATCATACATGTATTCAGTGTAGTACAGTAGGCAAACATTAAAAATATGTTCCCAAAACCATGATTGTGTTCAAAGACTGATTTTGTGCAAGCTACAACAGTTCTGATTTCTTCTAATACATCACAACCAAACCCATTCATTTTTGTATTTTTCTCGATGGTATGATAAAAAATACAGAAAGTAATTACAGTTTACTTTGCTTACAGGCTAGTTGTTAGCTTAGACCTCCGGTTTTATTTCCTGTTCTTCAGTACAACTTTGGTTGTGCTGATTTATGAAATGTGGGTGGACAAAGTGTGGCCCGAAATTCGCGTTCCCCAGCCTGCAGAGCAGGGGGACAACGAAGGCTGGACCCCTCTTCATCCAGGGTAAGACAAGTTTCAAAAGTTGTAACAATTATTAATGCATATAAGGTGAGATTTTTGCTTTCATATGGTCCATTGTTTCTTTCCTTTGCAGTGTTCTGAGTGCTCCTGAACTCAGTCACTATCTGAACAAAGTGATGCAATTTTCACACAATCAGTATTTAAGACTTCAAAATTTAAGGAACAACCAGCCAGGGCATGTGAGTAATTTTTCTGCAAAATGAACGCTTCTGCACTTCACATAAAAGAACCCTTAATATTTTCAACTTTTTTTCCAGTTTTGTGCCCTTGTCTCAATTGGTTGTTTATTGCTTATGTGGATTGGAAGAACCATCTCAGGAACCATGCTACTTTACATTATTTTTATGACCCTGCTCCTTCTCCCTGGACTCTGCATTCATTTTTTACCTTCTGCATCCCAGCTTGATTGGCACATACCCTCACAGAGTGGTGAATCCAAAGGTAGGTCTTAATTCTTAGTTTTATCAAATTTATAAAATGCACATACCCTTCAAGTAAACATTTTGGTATATTTATCTGTTTAGATCATGAAAGTGATGTGGATGAATATCTTCCTGAGCAAAGTGGCACAAACATGGTGTTATTGCAGAGGGCGGTGGAGCCTGACCACTCAGATCATGAAGATGACGATGATTTTAATATTCCACCAACAGAACTACTACATATAGATGATATGACAGATTCAGGTGGTGAGTAGCTTCAGACGTCTTGCTTTATGGACTTGTATTAACTAGGAGAAATATATATAGGGTAGGGGGAGTCCTTCTTTTTTTACTCATTTTTTGTTTTACTTATTTTATTTCTTTTCTAATGTGATACCAATAGATACGCCCACTCCAGTCTATTCATAGTTTCTTAATT